GCTTTGGCCCATCTGAGAGTAAAATAAGACTTGTTATAAAATATTTTGTCTCCCAAATGAAAAAGGGCATGATTTACTTCTGTATGAGCATTCGGGCATCTGTTCTCCCCTAGATGGTTGAGGTGGAGTGTTCCTTTCAAGCACACAAAAGCAGAGAGAAACAGGGCAGCTAGTGACCAGAAACAGACTTATTCTGTGTAACAAGAACTAGAGTGCAAGAGAGTGGAGAAAATTTGGCTTTGGAACTCTGGAAGGGCAGTTCAAGATCCTGGCTCGGGTCTTTTTGTTTTTTATGGAAGAGGAGACTATGAAGTGATAGGCTGTGGAACATCTTGGGTGATGGCCCAGTGATTGGAGGGAGTTTGAGTTCTAGAGGGTAGGAGCAGGGGATGGGGTTACTGGCCTATAATCCTAGCACTTGGGAGGCTGAGGAAGGAGGATAGTAAGTTCAAGTCCAACCTGGACCACTTAGTGAGGCTCTGTCTCAAAATAATCAAACCAAACCAAACCAAACCAACAATAAGAAGAACAAGATTGAGACCTCAGGCAAAGATCTCCTTTCACCCAACGTTGGTGTAAGGCACTAAAGTTCACTACGTGGGCCTGGGACAGGCTGGAGAAAGACGTTTCAATGGTTAGAATGGTACAGGCTCCGTGTTGTCAACTCATTTTATTTCAGAAGAGGTGTAAAAGAGCTAGGTGTGGTGGTGCACACCTGTAATCCCAGCACTGTTGGAGGCTGAGACAAGAGAGTTCCCAGTGTGAGCCCTCCCTGGTAACTTAGCAAGACCTTGTATCAAAATCAAAAATAAAATATGCTTGGGGTGTAGCTCAATGCGAAGGCCCTGGGTTCAACCGAGTCCAGAGTCTGTTGCAGCAGGGTTCCCAGAGAACGCGGGTCAGGCCCTCAGTGTGCCAAGTCCCCTTGTGTCTCCACCAAGCCCATCATAGGCTGCACAGCCGGAAGTGAAGTACCCTTTGCTACTTGGGAGAAATTACTGAATCTTTAGACCACACAGGAAGCTAATGAAGTACTAGGCAGCTGACCCACGTTTGTGTGGCTCAATGAGTCAGAGCAAAAGTTAAATTCCAGCCTGGAGTGCAAGCATACATAAGTCCCACTAGTCCCAGCTTTCCTCTCCATGAATGAGCTAAAAGCTGCTGCCTTCAGCATTAAATGCCTGTGAGTATTGAGCAGAGTCTGCTCCACAGGACCTAGCTAACGGAGCTTCAGCTGTTAGCTGTTAGCCCCCTAGGTCGGTTTTCAAAATTCTACCACAGCTCTTCTGCTCATTAGGACGATCATTTGCAAGAGCAAGCAAGTGCGCTTAGTGCTATTTTATCAGTGAGGAAATGAAGGCTTGGAGGGGCTCTGTCACCCTGAGGGTCACCCAGCTTTGTGAGTGTCAGGGGCTTGGATCTGAACCCAGGGTCTCTTGAGGTGTTCTCCTGACGTCCCTCAGCAAAGGAAGTCCGAGCCCCTGCTTCCGGTAGCACGAGGACGGAGACACAGTGCTCCATGCTCTTGCGCAGCTCACCTGAGCATAGGTGAACGTGGCCCTGAGCCTGGTCGAGGTGAGGCTCCAAGCCCTGCCACCCCATCCCTGCCACTGGAAGGCTGTCTTTGCTCTGGAATTCTGCTCCTGAGCCACACTCACGTCACTGCCTCTGGCTGCAGCTGTTGGCTGCCTTCTCTGCTACGTCAGAACCCAAGTCAGATTGGAGGCTGCATGTGGAGAAGGAATTGGGAAATGAAGGGCTGGTTTGGAGGACAGCTCTCCCTGCCCTCCACTAGGAGCTGACCCCGCTCTGAACCGCTGTGTGCTTTCCTCCCGAAGAGCAGGCGGCCCTGACTGACAGTCAGGGTGAAGGAGAAGTTGCAGTCTGAGCACTGAGGCCTGGTCAGACATCATCGGGTCAGCATGGTCCTTCACCTGCAGGTTGTCACCTTAGGCCTCCTGCTACTTCACACAGGTGAGTGAGTAGCGGGCTGGCATCTGGGGGTGGTGGGGGTGGAGAGAGACAGACGTCCCTGGGCTTTGTAGGATGGTCACCTGCTAACCAGGGAGCAGAGCACTGGGACGAAATCTGACTCCACATCAATTATGTAACTGCTATGATTCCAACATTGACAGCTAAGGGAGTGAGCTGGGAGGAAGGACACAGGCTGCCATTTGTATTTAACACACAGGGGTGGGGAGCTGTATATACACGGACAGTGCGTGGAAGAGGGAGGGCAGCATTTCATTAAATTCTTTTGTGCTTCTTGGTAGTTTTAAACCCTTTCGAACCATTTCATTTAAAAATAACTTTCTTTCTTTCTCTTGTACTGAGGATTGAACCCAGGGCCTTCACTCTGAGCTATATTTCTAGCTCTTTTTATTTTTCTATTGTGAGACACGGTCTCACTAATTTGCCCATGTTAGGTTTAAACTTGAAATCCTGCTGCAGCCTCCCAGAGTGCTGGGATTACAGGCATGCACCACTGAATCTGGCAATATTTTAATTGAAAACATTGCGTGAAATGACCAAGTATCTCTTAAATTTTAAAATCTAATGTTGGAGGGTTGGATTATGGGAGAGAGTTTATTACTTTAATTGTAATAATATGCATTGTACTTGTACTCCAAAGAATGACCTGAAGCAAGATTGAATTATAAGAATTACAGCCCAGTGTGGTGGCGCACGCCTGTAATCCCACCACAAGAATTCCAGTGATAGTTGAGCACGGTGTGGCACTTATAATCCTAGCACTCTAGGAGGCTGAGGCAGAAGGATCACAGTTTATAGCCCGGCCTCAACCATTGCTATTTAGTGAGACTACACCTCAAAATACAAAATAAAAAATGCAGTGGGTTTAGTCTTCAGTAGAGAAATTTACAAATCTAGTGAAAAATATGCTCATATTTTATATAGTAGTGAACATTTTTTTCTCTGAGCATTTCCCAAACTCACAGCCCAGTCTTATATATGATTATGTAGTTAGTAAATCTCAGATTTAAGAGATGTCTTGAATGCATTTGACAACAGGTATCTGAGGTATTATATCCTTCCTTTCTTCCTTCCTTCCTTCCTTCTTTGAGACAGGATCTTGATAGGTAGTTCAGGCTGGTCTTGAACTCTCTTCATTGCCCAGCCTGGCCTTGAACTCAGTTATCCTCCTCCCTCAGCCTCCCACACGTGGTTACTATTATTATTTTTAAGTGTATAATTTGGATCCTGACTGAATATTCTCCAGTTCTGTGGTTTCACTTGTTTTGGACTTGCTTAGTTACTGGGCTGTGATCAGAAGAGGTTTCGGGTTAGACAGAGCTACTGTCAGCATCTTTAAAAGCCCTGTGAGCTGGGCATGGTGGCACACACCTGTCAATCCCTCTTGGCAATTTCTCTGTTAGAAATCTGTCCTATAGGAAACCTAAATAGAATAGTTTTATAATAGAAAGAGTTTGCCATGCTTTTTATAATAGTAAAAATGAAGGTCAGCATGAATATTATACAGTACAATAAACTGTCTTATCCACAAATGTATCAATGAAACAATGATACTGATGAAGGATATACTAACAGGAAAATGCTTGTAGTATTAAAATGTAAAAGTTTAAGCTACAGCTGAATGTGGTGGGGCAGACCTGAATTCCAGTTGCTAGGAAGACTGAAGCAGGAATATCTCAAGTTTGAGGCCAACGCCAGCAGCTTAGTGAGATCAGACCCTGTCTCAGAATAATACCTTCTGGACATAAAACTCAGTAGTAGAGCCCTTACCTTGCATTCATGACTTTTAGATCTAGGTTCAATCTCCAGTATCAATAAAAGAAAATCATGCTATAAATTCATGTTCACAAAATACACAAAGAAAAAAAATGCGAACAAATAAATTAAAAAGTGGAAAAAAATGAGGAAAATACTGAGGTCTCAGCCTCCCTTTTCCCGTTTATTTTAGGCTCTGTATTTTCTACCCAAGTGAGTGCAGTGGAGGGGCAGTCGGTCACACTGCCCTGCACCTACTCGGTGTCTGGAGGATCAGTCACATCCATGTGCTGGGGCCGAGGGCCCTGTCCCAGGAACCAGTGTTCAGACACACTTATCTGGACGGATGGACATCAGGTCTCCTCTAGGAGAAATGAACGTTATTGGTTAAACCAGCATATTAAGCAAGGAGATGTGTCCTTGACCATCGAGAATGTAACCGTAGGTGACAGAGGCCAGTACTGCTGCCGGATTGAGGTTCCGGGATGGTTCAATGACATCAAAAAAACCATCTCACTCAGCGTTGTGCCAGGTGAGCTTACCTTGTTCCCTCTGATCCTTTCACTCACATTAGTGACAAGTGGGTAATTTTCTTTCCTTTAATAGGGAAAGAGGAGGTTCCTTCAATCCTGTTTGCCAATCAACACCTGCTCCTTAGAAACAGAGTAACTTTGTTTGTGTAGAGGAAGTCCTAGACCAGCCCTGATTCGAGGCCCTGGGCTGGAGTCAGCAAGGATCTTTCAGAGCAGCAAGGCAGACAGGCTCCTTGGTCCGCAAAATGGTACTCACTGTTCCACAGTGAGATCTGTGAATGGTTTATCAAGGGCAATGTGCTTACAGAATTGCATGATTTCTCTGAGTTCATGTCTTAGATGGATGATTCATTAAAATGCACATACTGTATATTGTACAGGCCTAGAGTTCTACGCCTTTCCCTGCCCTACCTTGGGGTTTTGAAATATACCTTCTATCATATCAGAAAAATTGCTGTTCTAAAAATTAAAATGACCTCATATGCAAGCTCTTCCATTCCAACAGCCATTGATCAGTTGCTTATAAGAAGTTCATGAAATCCAAACATCTGGGAACATTTGTTTCCTTTTGCTGTAGGCATCCTAATTTCCATCAGCATTTCATGAAAGAAACAGGTTCTTGAGGATTTCTTGGTTTCTGGTCCCGTTTCCAAATGAATCTCCTGCTACTGAGACAGAAGGAAAACGTAATGCTGTTGGCCTCAATAGCCTGTCTCTCTCTTTTTAATTAAGGGGAACATTGTTTTGCAGTCTCTTGGCTTTTAGATCTGGTTTGTTTCCCTTTGAAAGGCAAGCAGATGAAGTCACTTGTAGAGGAGTAAATTGAGGAAGTCCTAAGGTCCGAAAGTCTGTATGTCTTAATTAGCTGAGTCTGGGGAAACTGTCCAGGAGACAAATCAGGGAAGCAAAGGGAGGGCGATCCACCGTGCTGCAGGGAGATGTGGGCAGGAGCTGATATGATTGTGATCGAAACTTGCTTTAGTTGTAAAATATAGTATTGACCTGGATGAGTTTTTAAACATGGAATACAATGAAACTAGGAGCCTTTTTTTTTTTTTTAAATCATGCTTAGATTTTCAAAAATTTTGTTTATTTATGGTTAGCTGAGTTGCTAAGTTGCCAGCCTGGGCTTGAGGACTTGTGCTTCTGCCTTAGTCTCCCAGAGTGCGAGGATTACAGATGTGCAGTTTTCTAATATTTACAAAACTACTCCTTGGTCCAGTCAGAGTGACTCTAACTGAGCCAGTGTAACTGCCTCAGCTCTACTAAGCCAGCTTTTTGCTTAAGTTTCTACATGGAGCTAAAATGCTGAGCTTACTCTTCAGCTCTCCTGGGGCTTCTCCTGTCCAGGTCTTTCTATTCTTGACATTTCCCAGCTTTGCCTTGGGAAAAATGCCCTTGAGCCAGAAAAGTGAGCTCTTGAGGGTTTTTCCTCTTTGTTTTTTGATTTTGATTTTATTTTCATTTTTGTGTCTGTTGAGATCCTCTAATCACATTTTTTGCATGCTTATCTTCTTTTTTATATAGATTAGTTTTCTAGACTGTGGAGGCAGGGCTATAGATTACGCTCAAGCTTCTGGTTATACCTTATGTTATGGTTAGCAAATTATACCCAACAGCCAGTGCAGACTATGTAACAAGCCCACCAACTGTTTTTGAAAAGAAATGTTTTTTGGAATACACGGCTGTTTTAAAACTTGTTGCTGAGATCATGTTTTAGGTCCCCAAATCTAAAACATTTAGATTGTTTTGTTTTCTTGTACTAGGGATTGAACCCAGGGCCTCACGCAAAGCCCTTTTTAATCTAGTTTCTATTTTGAGCCAGCATCTCACTAAATTGTTCAGGTACAACTTGAAATTGGGATCCTCATGCTTTAGCCTCCCTGACCCGTAGGATCATAAGTACGGGCCACTGCTCCTGGCAATATTCACAGTCTGGCAATACTTATAATTTTAAAGATTTAAGACAACTGCTTATAAGAGAAAGATGTGCCTGGTGAGAAAAAAGTATTCAATCATCTGTGAACATAAAATAAAAACCCTGCTTTAAAGGAAATAAAGTAGTTTATTTTGAGCCAAATATGCGTGACCATAGCCCGGGAGTATGGATCCAAGTTGCTGCAGATAACTTGCATTATCGCATTCTTAGCTTTAGGGCAGGTGGAGGCTGGTCATCTGTCAAACTCAGCTGTACTTTCCAAAGTCTTTATCCACTTGTTGCAGGTGTTAGGACAGATAGAGAAGCTGATAATAAATGATCAATAGATTAGACTAAAACCGGGTGTGGTAGCATACACCCATGATCCCAGCCACTTGGGAGGCTGAGAGAAGATCCCAAGTTTGAGGCCAGCCTAAGCTATTTAACAAGCCCTTGTCTCAGTATAAAAGGGGGGAAAGGCTGGGGACACAGCTCAGTGGTCCAGAGCTTGCCTAGCATGCCTGAGGGCCTGGGTTTTATCCCTCACCCTGCCAAACAAAAGGGGCATGTTTCTGTGAAGCAAAGATGGACCAAGATAACTTGATCTGTGGCATTCTGTGGGACTGCATAACTCTGTAATCATAAAACTCCCCTAGCCCCAACTGTGATTGAATGTGAGTAAATAGATAAAAATGCTTGTTAGTTCCAGGACACTAGATAAGATCTGTATCAGCCATAATTATTCAACTCTTTGTTCAAAAACTGATGTTCGGGACACCGCTATCTATAGAACAATCTACAAAACATCTGCTGACCATCAGTACATGTCAGGCTAATTAACGTGCAAATGTAAGACCACTAACCTTTGTTCCCCCTTCGGTAAATTTCGCTTGTTAACTTCCCTGGAACCCCCTATAAAAAGAGCCTCGGACTCTGGGCTGATCGCCTCTCTAAGCTACTTTGCTTTGGGAGTGCCTTCTGGCCAGACTAAGGTCTGTTTTACTTTCCAACTTGTCCGGTGTGTTCCTTCCTGGGTGTTCTTCGCTGCAGTCAGCTCCTCGGAGCGTTTGGTAAGGCCCTTGGTCTTACATTCTGGAGGCACCGCTGGGATCCCTGGGTGTGCTTCACTACAGTCAGCTCCTCCAAGCGTTTGGTAAGGCCTCCGGTCTTACAATTCCATCCCTGCAGTTACATTACCTTCAGCCAAGGTCAGTCTGCAGCTCTTCAGTACAGATGTGGCTTCTTCCCAGATTGTTCACACCTGCTTGATCCCTTGCTTTATTGACTCTGCTTTTGGGCCAGGCACTCTGTTCAGGCTTAATTCTCCTCTCAGCTCTCTGCTTGGCTCCCAGAACTTCATAGAGCTGTGTGGCTTCTTACATATTTCAGATGCTGTCGATTTGTAACGTATAGAGTGAGCATCTCTAATCCAAAAATCAAAAATCCACCATACTCCAAAATCTAAATTTTGAGCATTGACATGACAGGAAAATTGGATAATTTCAAGCATGAAATTTGTTTCATGTACAAAATTATTAAAATCTTAATAATAAGTTATTAAATTATATAAGCTTTCCACCTAGTTATATGTATTAAGTATATGTGAAACAGTGAATTTCATATTTAGGCTTGAGTCCCATTTCTTGGATATCTCATTATGGATATGCAAATACTGGAAGCATTTTAGAGAAAAGATACTCAAGCTGTAAATCTTAGATGGGAAAACTTCCAAGTTCTTGTCCACCCTCTTACCAAGTGTGCAAATTTTCCCCAGGGCGCCTCCATGTGATCTAGCATAGATTAAGGGCAGGAGTTAGCCTTCAGCTAAGATACTAGTCTCTTGGGTGTTTTCCCTAGAACTGACAGAAGTGAACACTATTTAGTAAACTTGCTGGCCTAGGAAGCACTATTCAAGTCAGTCACTTGGCTTTGAGAGGACAACCCACATTCCCAGAATCTAGACTCCTTCCCTTTGGCACGTCTTCAGAAAGGGACATGAGTACTAAATGACATACATGTTTTCATATCCCAAATGCTTCTCAATACAGCTGCTCCCCTCACTCCCAGCAGGTATCCAAAGCTCTCCCGCCAGAGGTTCTAGCTGGACAATGTCAATGGGTAAATTCAGGAATAGATAGCCCTGCCTAGAGACAGTCTGTCCTTGGTGTGCTCAGCTGCATTGCAGCAGGAGTTTCCTGTTTCTTGTTCCCCCATTAATCCTGCTTTCACGTTGATTTCTAACTCCAGCCACGACCACAAGAGCTCCAAGAACACCGGGTGTCTCTACTGCTCCAAGAACACCAGGTGTCTCTACTGCTCCAAGAACACCAGGTGTCTCTACTGCTCCAAGAACACCAGGTGTCTCTACTGCTCCAAGAACACCGGGTGTCTCTACTGCTCCTACAACACCAGCACATACACAGAGCCACAAAACAGGTAAAATGTGAATTGGAGCTGGAGGCCTTCTCATAGAAGGTATAGATCATCCAGCCCATTGAGTCAGAACAGAAGTACCATCAAGGTCAAGGATTCTTACTTGGGTTCAATACATGAGCTTCACAAGGTCTGTGTCCTCCCCTCTTCCCAGATGATGTGTACCTTCCACAGTGTAAGCATGTGAAGAGTGAGGGCGCCCATTACTTTTTATCAGATTCTCAAAAGGATTCCTTATTAGCCATAAAGAGGTGGACCACTGATCTAGAACACCATGTGTGGGTCTCACCTACTTGGGCAAGGCTCTGTGATAAGAAAATAGGGAATTCTGGGGAAGAAGAGCCAGGCTAATGAGCTTTTGGATCATGAGGCCATTCTGAAGTTAGGCCCTCCAATTGAGGATCATATTTCAATGAAAATAATATTTATTCTGTGTACCAGGCACTATGTGTTACAGTATCATATCATTTAATTCTCAAAATAGCTGTCACTATAGAGAGGATTCAAAGGGAGTTTATAGTGATGGGAAATGAGACACAGACTCTAAAAGGTAATTGTTGAAATTCATAAAGAGAAAAAGTAGTTGAATTAAGATTTAATTTCTATTCATTTGAATGTGGGGCTGGTGCTTTTAATTACTGGATCATGGATGGTTCCTATCATAGTCACTGACTTTATGTGAGAATGAATTTGTCCTGTTTTGACATCCTCATTGACAGAGACTTTGTAAAACTACCTTGTCTTTGTGGAGCAGTCAGTGCTTTACAGAGTTTTGCTTCAGGGATCCTTCACCTTAATTTACATGGTATGGAAATTGCAAAAGATGGTATTTATACTAAAAAAAAGAGAAAGAAACATTTAACTTAGTGACTTCGGAGGTTTAGAATGTACATGTTCATGTTGTCAATTTGTGTCATGTGGTTCACACCTCAAATTCCCCAGAGAAAAGAGTTTAAACAGTAAAAAAAATGGAAATGACTTACAGGTGAAGAGGTACTTTGTCATGCTGAGGACAAGTTTAGGGTCAAATTTTCTACTTCGAGGATTGAAAAGATAACTTACAATGGAGATTCTCAAAGCACCCTGAAACCCTTTGACTCCTGGAGGTAGCCCTGCATTCTGGGCTGTAATGAAATGTCACAAACACTTAGATAGAAAAATAGGTGGAACAACAACAACAAAAAATAGGTGGAACATACTGATTTCCCTTGACGCCTATTGAACCACGTATACATATAACCATGAGGGGTCTGGAGGGTTGGGCTAGAAGATGAGTTTAGAAGACAGGGCTTTAGGTTATCTTTGGCGGGGGGGGGGAGCGGGTACCAGGGATGGAACTCGGGTCCTTGCATTTGCAGGGCAGGTGGCAGAACCACTGAGCTAAATCCCCAGCGGCTTTAGGTTATAACTGGGATTTTAGAGCCATAAAGACACATTAGAAAAACAGCTTTGTTTCAGGCAGTTAAACACACTGGAGAATCTGTGAGACTTCCTCAATATTGATTTAACTTTTTAATACTTACTTTGTGACTTCTAAGGTAGATGGTTTCAAGGACTTGGTTTGGAGAACATGGGTAAGTTACTGACTTTATTGAAAGCTGAGATATAGACAGGTGCTGGTTTATGTGGCCATATGACTTGGGGGTTGTTCTCAGTTCAGTCTTTTTTCTGTTTTTTCATTTTTTGGTTTCTGGGGTTTCTTTTGAGATAGTCTTCCTATGCAGCTCAGCTGGCCTTGAATTCACTATGTAGCCCAAGCTGGTTTTGAAATTCTGGAAGTCCTCCTGGCCCAACCTCCCAGGCAGGCAGCTTCACCCCTGCCTTATTCTTCTCCTGGGAGTTTCCTAAGGAGTTTGAGTTTAGGATTAAAATGTACAGTATGGGGAGGAGGGGAGCACTCCAGCCAATCAGCTGCCTAAAGCAGTCGGAGTGCTGGCTTCAGCAGCACATACACAAAGACAGTCATGGAACCACTAGGTGTGAAGTTGTAAGAGGTGGGGAGAAAAGGAAGATGCTGTAGAGGAAGAAGTTAAGCTAAAGAGGACTTTTGTGCAGAACTAAATCGGGCAAGACTGACCATCTGACTCTTGCGTTTTCTTGTTTTTAGTTCCTAAAGACAGCCACATCCTCTTACTGGTTTGAGTATTAGAGGAAACAGTTCAGAGCATGGGAAAGGTTGAAGCTGAAATGCATGGTTAGTGACAGGGAGGGAAAGAGTGAGGAGCAATTAGGAAAGGCTGGACTGAGGAATTCTTATCCAGCCACCCCCATGAGTTTGACCCACAATTCTGTGGTGTTCTTGGACAAAGAGATCATGGGAAGACCTTATAATGACAAGTGAGCAGCTCTGCAGATAAGGCAAGCCATGCGATCAGAATAAAAGTTAAGATTTCAGGAGAGGAAAGCGACACATAGCTCTGTGTGAGAGAACTCTCAGTGGAATCTTTTGGATGATTAATGCAGGATGAGTCAGGAAATTACTCTTCAGAAAAGATGCCTAGGATGCACATGCAGAAGAGCTGGGACCAAGGTCTACCAGGGGCCTTGCTTTGAGGCTTGCAAATCATTACCTGGGGCAAGACATTGAGCGATATTGTCACCTTGAGGAGACATCGAGGGATCAAGTAGTGTACACACAATGAGTCAGTCACTATGTTTACCTCCCTGGACAGGTATGCAGACAACCTAGAAGGTGAATATACCTAGGAGATCCAGATGGAGACTATTATCAGTGGGCTAGGGCCGGTTAGTGGAAAGTAAAATGTCACTTGTGTAAATAGCATAAAAGCTTCAATCGTGTGTTCCACATGAGATGCACTGTTGTAGGCTTTGCATTTATAGGGAGGACTGGCATCTGGGAGTGTAGCAAATAGGGAATAATTTTATACAATAATTAAACTCTCTACCATATTATAAGGATTATATTTCCTATATGATAATGAAATAGCTAGGGAGCAATTCAGTGTCTGGAGGCCATTTTTTTAAATAAATATCTAGGGCCAGGGATTTAGCTCACTGATGGCATGCCTGCCTTGCAAGCACAAGGTCCTGAGTTTGATCCCCGGTACCAAAAAATAAATATAGAAAGAAAGAAAGAAAGAAGGAAAGAAAGAAAGAAAAGAAAAGAAATATCTAAGAAGAATTAAAAGGGCTAGAAGTGAATGGGTGGATATCAACCTCATGAGTAGGCTGGGGTGAAGGCTTTGTGGGAAATTGATGGTCATTTGTAATATAGTATTTATTTACTTCTTTAGTTGTTTTTTTGAGACAGGGTCTGGCTGCATAGTTCAGGCTAGTCTTGAACGCTACTGTTGAACTCACTGTAGTCTAGACCATCCTCGAACTCTCAGAGATCCTCCTGCCTCAGCCTCACAAGTGCTAGGACTATAAGTGTTCCCCACCATGCGTGACTTGTTTGTTATTTTTGTTGGCATTGAAAATTTCCCTCTACAAATAGAACATACTTCTTCCATTGTTTTCATTGCAGAACCTAGTCCACCTGTCCCTAGTCAAGCAGGAGAAACCCAGCCTACAACACTGCAGGAAACAAAGCCTCAGCCCACCACCTCCTCCCCAGACTCTGGCCCAACAGGTAACTGCATTCTCTCTCCTGAACCCTGGGAGCATGTAGATCATGGTAGCCATTGCCTTAACTAAGAACACAAATTCTGGAATACAATGAATCTGACTTGAGTTGTGATTCTGTCCACTCTAGTCAACAATGTGACTTATACCGATGTCTTCCCTCTCTGAATCTGTTTTGTGATTTGTAAAACAGATGTAATGCACTGATCTGATAGACTGATTATGAAGATTCAGTGAGATGAAGGGCTTGGACAGATACAAGCCACTCCACTAGCCAGAACATCCAGAATCCATAAGCGTAGTACTGGGTGCTGTATGGGACATCTATGTGCATATTACTCTACTGCTGTAAATCAAATCAACCAGTCTTGGCTCCAAGCTTGTTCCTGAGCTTGACCCCTCGGATGGCCTCCTCCAAGTCCCAGACCCTAAATATGCCCAGGAGGCCGCCCTGCTGTCAAGCTTGTATTCACATGGGCATTCTGAGGTGGTGCTGTGGACTGAGTATTCATGTCACTCCTCAATTTCATATGTTGGTACCTAATGCTCAGTGCAAGAGTTTCGAGAGGTGGGACATCTGGGAAGTGATTACTTCCTGTATAATAGAGACCAGAGAGGGCTTGTTTGCCCTTTCCTCCCCAAGGGGCTGCACTGAAGGTGCCATCTGTGATGAAGAAAACCCTCACTAGGTACCCAGTCAGCCTGCGTCTGGATCTTGGCCTTCTCAGCCTTTAGGTCTGAGACCAATACATTTCTTTTGGTTATCAGTGACCCAGTCCAAGGTATGTTGTTACAGCAGCCTGAGCAAACTAAGAAGGGCTGAAGGCACCAACACCAGCACCAAAGAGGCTGCCCTGAGGCCCGGCTTCTCTACATAATGCCCCAGTGCCCCGGTTCTGGGCTGGTCCCACTATTTGGCGATATAGAATGAACCTGTCTATCCTAGATGAAGAAAGGTCATCTCTCCCTGAAGCCTGTCACCTATCCCAACTAACTCCCTTTGTTACCCATAGTGTTAAGTTTTGAGAGCACCATGTGCTGAACTTCCTGTGGCTTAGAGCTGGTTTAGGTGTCCTTGTGCCTGTGTCATATCCAGAGAGATCAGGTCTTGCAGGGTAGGTCTGTGTATGTGCGTGACTCATTGTTTGAGGAGTCACCAAACTGTGGGTTCCCCACCCTTGTGGCCTTTCTTTCCCCACATTCCTGGAAACTGGTGACTTTTACAATGGACCTGCAGTGAGATTCGCACACAGTCAGTAGGGATTAGATAACGGTGATATTTGGGTCTGAAATTGGGATCCTTACTGTGAACTGTTTCTGGGTACAAAAGCAGAATGGAAACTGATAGAAATACAGGGTAACAGCAGTAGGAGGAGCTGTACCCATTCTTCTAGGGTTGAGGAGGAAGAGAGTGGGAGCGGGCAATTTTTCTCTACAATATCATGTCATTAAAACCTGGTCCAGGTAGAGCTTTCCAGAGTGGAGCAGAACTTGGAGCAGCTCTGTCCCCAGGACTTTTGTGCCTGCTGACATTTTGGCGGAGTATCTGAGGCCCCTGGGCTAGGTCTTCATCACACCTTTGTCAGCCCTCTGTTGGTGAGAGCTGTACGGAAGAGGAGACTGTGGAGTCTGGAAGGCAGGTCACATGGCCTGCCACCCATGTGACAGAGGTGTGTGCCAGGAGACTTGCATTGTCTCACTGAATTCTTCCAAGGCAGGCCCTGTGTCTGTGACCGCCAGACTGGGAGAAGTGCTTTGGAGGGCAGCTCCTGATTCAGCTGCCATACCAGCTGCGTGCCCGTGGGGAAGTTGCTGAACTTTCCTCACTAGATGGTCACATGTTTGGAAAGTGTCCCTCCCTCCTCCTCATGGCTCCTTTCACCTAGTGATGATAAGCTGTAGCTGGGCGTGGTGGCGCAGGCATGTCACCCCAGCTACTTGGGGAGGCTGAGGCAGGAGGATCATAAATTCAAGGCCTGCCTGCACAATTTAGTCTCAAAATAAAAAATCAAAAAGGCCGAGGATGGGCCGAGTGTGGTGGCACATACACAGATGCAATCCCAGCACCCTGGGAGCTGAGGTGGGAGGACTGCAGTCTTCTCCTACTCTAGGCAACTTAGCGAGATCCTTTCTCAAACTGAAAATAGAAAAAAGGCTGGAGATGTTGCTCAGTCAGTTCGAAGGCCCTGGATTCACTACCCAGTACTGAAAACAAGCATGCTTTATACGCATCATCTAATTTGATTGTAACACATTTTAATATGTACTATTAATAGCTTGTAATTCAAAGATATCCAGGCTAGAAATACCTGAATATACACACACGGCTGCCTACATGTTTATGCAGGGGCCATGTTGCTAAGGGATTGAAATCAAATTTCCTCTGACTCAAGTCCGTGCAGTTTTTGCTGCAGTACCCAACCCAGTCTGACTTCTGAAGGTCTTACAGTCATCACCTGTCACACACAGAGCCCAGGCTCTGGATGCTGCCTTTGGCTCAGTGTGATGTACTCTCAGAATGAGTCCCATAGGAATGTAAATAAACCAGCAGTGTGAGTCATCTGGTTTTGTTCCTGCAGGGATTCTGTGAGCTTTTGCTGTAGGAAGGAAACTTTAGAGAGGTAACATATTTCCATTTGATGGGAGAAAAACATGTGTCATGGCTACAGCAGGGGCTTCTATCTTTAAATAAAATTGGAAACATCGGAAATATGTCTTGCCATTCCATCGCTGTTTCTTCCCCAGTGGGACTAAGGACCTGGCTGTTAGTATGTACCATGCTTAGTATTTGACCTATAGATGCCTAAAAGGAAAAAATTATGTGTTGTCTGTTACAAAATAGATATTGTAAAAACACTTTAAAAATCTGAATATTTGAAACTTTAAGATCAAAGTCTCTTATACTATATGAGATCCTAATCCTTATGTGTTATAAAATACATTGATCTTGTGGCTGATACAACGTATTTTCTAAAGAGTTTCTGGATCCAAACCTGGATGTCATGGCATATCGTGTGAGATATACAGGCCAACCTTTTTTCAAATCATCACTCATTTCATCCACATCCTGATTGTAAAGCCAGGGTCACTCCGTTCTGAGTAGGGTGGTTCTGGTCTTTGGAGCTGTGTATGGCCTGTGGGTGCCCACTGTCAGCTTCTTAGCCAGCATGAAAATATTTGATTACATTTAAGTGGCATCTTAACCTGGTTGCCTGAACGTACTTCTCTGATTTCTCAAAATTGCAGGTACAACTTTTCATACATGCATTATTTCCCCATAAAGAAAAAAAAGGAGTCCATTTCAAACAGTCCGTGATGAAAATGTTAAGAAACATACATTTGTAAGATAAATTAATAAAACATTAATAACTTGGTATGACTGCTGGAATGCCTGCAGTACTCTATCACATTATCATTCTACTTTCCATTCATTACCAGAGGGCAATGTGAATATATTTAGTGTCTGCAGTAAAAGTCCAATATGTTTGGTAATTCTAATTAATTTTTCTTCCTTTTAGCAGGTGGGAATGCCATGGTGACCCAGTCCTCAGATGGCCCTTGGCGTAACAATCAAACTGTAAGCATATTCCTCCCTATGGGCCCAGTTTGTTAGATAAGCTTAATAAGTGATATTTTACTAAATAACGCAAACATACACACACACACACACACACACACACACACACACACACACCCCAGAGACCTCTTCATGGACAAAAATTAGAAAGAAAAGATGAGTTAATTTAAAGAGAATAAGGTAACCTAACATACCAAGAAGGCCTGTAATGATCACTAGAGATACAACATGCTTTGGATCCGTGGGACAGAGTTGGGGCTATCCCAAACAAAAATAGAATGTAAGGGGAAAAGTTCTTACATAAAGATAGGTCTAAAACATCTTTTCTTACTCAATGACTATTCTGTTCATAAATTCCTAGGCCATTGAATTTAGAACTCCCCATATAATTACTTATTAAGATAGTAAGGTCTTCAAAAAGTTTGATTCCATAGGATGTTGTTAAACTTCTTCGAAAGGGAGCTTGAGAAAAATCTAAGGAACCTCAGTCTTGTGATACACATAAACATTTAACTGTGCAGATAAGTTGGCAAATTTATCAGTAAGATTATTTTTGGCTCCAGGGGGAAACAACCTTTATTTCAATATCTGCAAGTAGTATCTTTAAAAGACAAATTAATCAAATGTTGGCCCTTGAAAGAATTCAGAAAGCTCAGCTGAGGTGGGACTGTTTAGTGTAGGGCCAATTGGCCTTATGCTGGGTACTGTAGTGAGAATGAGAACACCTCTGCAGGGTGATGTTAGGGACTCTAAGAGGGACTGAGGCAGGAGGATCATGAGTTCAAGCTCACCCTGAGCAACTTAGAGAGAAATTGTCTCTAAGTAAAAAATAAAAATGGGCTGGAGTTGTAGGTCAGTGCAAAGGCCATGGATTCAATCCCCAGTAATCCCTCCTGCAACACACACGGTCATTGGTTGAGCTGATAAATATGAACTAAATTTGTACACACTGGTTAATATCAGAACTACTACTACGTAGGTGTTCATTGTGTTGCTTAATGAGCAGAGTTATGTTAAAGTTTTTATAAATCCTCTAAATGGTGATGTTGTTCACCTCAGGTATTTGTAGAACAGGTATGTTTAGCAGCATGTGGAAGCAACTTAGGAGCATGTTCAAAACAGGTAAAAATAACAAAATTCGAGCTTTTTGTGCCTTCACTCTGAAGATGTTTTCCAGAAATATTTGAAAAGAGTAAATAACAGCATACAGTTTGACCCAGTGGGTTAACTTCTTGGGCTCTACCTTAAGAAGAGAATTAAACAAATATATGAATATACATAAGAAAGAATTCTCATTACTACTGTTGCTAATGAATATATTATAAACAGGGAGATGTTCAGTAGTAAAGGATTCAGTGAATTAAACTCAACCAAATATTGCCAGAAAGAATTCAGTTCCTGCAGCACTCTTATTGACATGGGAAGGAGTGGGTCACCATAGATTAGAAAAAGAGAACAGTAACTTATAAAATCATGTATATACCATAGCACATGTAGGATTGTCACTGGGGAGCTGAGTCGGGACACCATTTGAAACTGGCCCTGGGCTTTGTCCTTTGTGACTTTGATGAATGAATTCAGTCAAGACACATAGGCAGCCATTCAGAAGTGTAGTCAGAGTTTATTGTAAAGCAAATGTGGAGAAATTTACACCTTGAAAGAAGGCAGGCAGTGCCCACTAGGCACACACAGGGAGAGTGCAGAGTTTGGACATCTTTGTGTACACAAGTTACTCCTGGGCTTCAAGAAACTATGGTGAAAAAAAAGAAACCATGGTGATTATGATGCTTAGGAACATTTGTCTTAGAGGCTACTTTGGAATTGCAAAAATGTCTTCCTGAGATCTTTTAAACTGTCTGTTGACCACCAGTTACGTATTAGTTGCCAATACGCCAGCTTGGACATCAGTGTTTGTTGGATCCGTTTGACCAATTTGCACCAGTTTTTAAATCCATAATGATGGATTTAACAGGATGACAAAAATTATTTTTTTGTTGTTCTTGATGGAATTAAGATGCCTTGAATTATCTAGGGTGTTGTGTACTTAGAAAATAACAGCTCTAAGTACCTTTTTACATTTTCTTTTCTTTTTTTTTATTATTAAACAGATGTCTTCAATTTAATGCAAGAGAACATTTTACTGTTTTACAGTGGTATTCTGGTGGTTTGTTTACAGGATATTCCAAAATAAAAGGACTCTGGAAGGTTAAAAAAAAATATGTCTTCCTGGTTCTTCTCAGATAGTGTTCTCTCAGGGGCCATAATCATGAAAGAAACTTACAAAAAAAAGTCCTAATCTAAATTAGGTTTTAGCGTAAGACAAGAAGGTTTTTAAAGGATGTTTCCCTTTCTGATATCATTGGGCCTCAGGCCATGACAACTAGGTGTGCTTTGTGCCTTTGTTGTGGAAATAGCTCCCTTTCCTAATGAAGGGGCAGGAGGTAGAACCTTCAAGTGTCATTGAGCTTCCTGCTGGGATTGTTTGAGACCTAGCAGATGATCATAAATGCATTACACAGGGAGGTTTTTTTTTTCATTCACTTAGGTTTTTTGTTTTTTTTTTTTGGTACGAGGGATTCAACTCTGGACCTTGAGTTTTCCAGGCAAGCAGCAGAACCACTGAGCTAAATCCCCACCCCTCATTCACTTAATTTTAACTGGTAAAGGATGCTATTTTGAACCCTGTTGGTCTTTCAGGCCTGCTAATGACTAGTGAGGTCCTAACAGGATTTAGTTCTTGTATCTGTTAAAAGATCCTAGAAGGACAAACTCTAGAAGAATATATAAAGCAAAAATGGTAAAATGTTTGTTTATGGATATCGTGTAATCATTGTTTTTAGTTTTCCTTTTTCCTTTCTTGGCTGCATACTCTCAAATGACCATGCCGAATTGGGGTGATACAATTTAAAAAACAAAACGAAAGCCTGTCTGCTGAGACCCCATTCTCCATCTATGTGCTCCCCTTCCCTCCCCATACTATGGTAAAAGCAGCACAATTTTCCCTCCCAGGGACTGGGTAGGTCCTTTCCAAACAAGGATGATGCATATATTGTCACTTTCCTTTATATTCCTCATAGGGATTCTATCTCAGGAAGCTAAAGGTATCTAACCCAAGGACCTTACTGTATGTGTTGTTTGTAGGCATAGAAATGGAAAGTCAGAGGGGCCAAATGACTTGTCCCTGGTCACACAGTGACTAAGTTGACATTTAGCTCTTCTGTAGAAAAGACTTGATCTTTTTCTCTGATCTTCCACTTTCTTTTTGTTAAAATACCTGTTCTATGGGATCTCTTTGGGATTAGAGCTCAGTTACGAAAAGGGGCCTGACATAATACCTGGAATGTTTCACTTTTGTTCCAGGAGGAAGGAATCTCTTATGATCTGCACTAGATTTAAATAAACTCTGCATTTCTACCTCATTGCACCCTGTTAAAGTGTTCTCTCAGGGTCACATCCATAAGCAGTTATTTCCAAGTCTTCTTAATAAAGATATTATCTTGTATTCCATTCCATTCATTCATTCATTTCTTTCTTTATAAATTTATTTTTTGCAGTAAGTGGGACTGAATCCAGAGCTTCCATACACACAGGACTATATCTTTAGTCTTTTTATTTATTCTTAGGCTTTATTTATTTATTTATTTATTTAAAATTTTGAATCAACTTTGTTAAGTTGCCCAGGCTGGGCTTGAACTTATGATCTTCCTGCTTCAGAATGCTGGGATTACAGTAGTACACCAGGCACACCCAATTTATAATACATTTTGAAAAACAATTAAGGAGTTTATCAAAGACCAAATTCAGTAAGTAAGCAAATTCAGATAAAAGCAAATCAAATCAACGTTTTCTTTGTTTTTTTTTTTTTTTTTTATGGGACTGGGGATCGAACTCAGTACCTTGCGCTTTTGAGGCAGGCAGCGGAACCACTGAGCTAAATCCCCGGCCCCGAGTCAACTTATACATGAACAAAAATTCATTTTTTTTTTGGTATGGGGGGATTGAACTCGGGACTGTTTGCTTGTGAGGCAGGCAGAGGCACCACTGAGCTAAATCCTCAGCCCCAAAATTCATTCTTAATACTGTAAGATGATGTACTACAGAAATAGCCTATTGGCTTTAAAACAGATGTAATTTATATATGTCACACACAAGCCCGCTTTAACTGTACAGTTTTAATTTTACCAAAGTATACAAGTATGTAAATATTATCTGAAGCAAAATGGAAACTATTTCCATTATCCCTGAAGTACATTTTGAATTTCAAGTTGTCTTAGAATTTCTGTGTATGTTTATATCCTCAGACGATTTGGTCTGTGTCAGGTAAAAGGGCCGAAGACCAAGATCAGATCAGGCCACAACAAGCCTTTATTAGGGGAATAGATCTGCCGGGCTGTCTCTGCACAAAGGAGAGACAAAAGCAATATGGCTGGGGCAGGGAGAGTCTTTTATAGAGACTGGGGTGGGGATTGTAGGGGCTGAGGCGGGGTTGAGTGAGGTAGTGACCAGGGAATGGAGGAACCAGTGACGTCACTAGGTGGTAGGAGGTGAGCGAGTATTAGGTTACTCTCTAGGTGGGAACAGGGGCATGCTGGGAAGAAGGGTTTGTTCTTTGGTGGGAGCAACCATCTTGGCATGACGTCACACAGGGGAGAGGGCAAGGCACCATAGGAAGAGGGCAGCTACTATACATAATAGCTGCTGAGGTGGTGGGAGACCTATCAGTCTGAGGTACCTTTGGTCTAAAAGTAACCAAGGGCCAGTGGAGTAAGTGTTTGGGTTACGGTACTGTAGGAAGCGTTTGCTGTTCATAACCCTAATAAGGTGCTTTTACAACTGTTGGCGTTTCCTCAGCAGGTGTTTGAAGCACAAAACCCCTGGGTGAACACTGACGGGCTCTATATTGGGATCCTTGTCTGTACCTTGGTTTTGCTCAATATTTTGGTCGCCATCGCTATCAAAGGTAAGTCATTTCAAGATCGTTCTTAAGGGACTAGAGCAAGGGCTCTGTAGCCAAATGCCTGCATTCAAGTGGTGTAACTCCATGTGGCGTGTCATTTTGTTCCATGTGACTTCCCCGGTCCCCAAATCCTCATCTGTCAAACGCACAGGGTAGGACCTTGTATTTCCCAGGGGCTGTGTTACTAGGTACAAAGCAGAGAGCATGACGTCTGTCCTATGGGAAATGCACAGCAATCTGAAGTTTTTATTATTATTTTTAGAAAAGATCTTTTTGCCATGTACAGCACCTCTGTAAGTCTCATGGAGCTTACATTCTAGAGGAGTTTTGACTAAATATCGTTGTTTCTTAATCATGGTTGTTATTTTTCAACTTCTGCTCCCACACAGGGAAAAATAAATTTAAACTATCTAAGAAGGTGTTAAATACTAAGGTAACAGTTTGTTGAGTAGGTTTGGAATGTGGGAAGCAACAAACTGTTGTGATGCGTAAGATGTGTTCCTTTTCCCCTGAAGGTCCAATTTTCGGCCCCTTGGGTGGTGTGTGGAAAGATTAGAGCACCTGTTGAGCAGAGAGGGTAATGAGAGGCTGGGAGTGGACACTGAGAGGATAATGCTAGACCTCTGGATTACAGGCCTTTAAGAGGCAGCCATCCCAGGATGAATGTCCCCTTTCTGCCAGGGCCGTGTGTGTGTGTTTCTCTGCCTCCCCTGGAGAACCTCAGTCATCTTTTGACAAGACACTGTATATGAACTCTGCTGATCTGTTTCTTGTGTCTGAGCAAAAATCAGAAAACTAAGTTTGCTATCAAATTTGAGGACATTTCCACAAAACTGCTGGGATTAAAACTTGGTTAGTTGGAATGATTATTAGAAATTGGGTAAAATACCTCAAATATGCTCCATTCTTTAACCAAAATAATTTCCCTCCCTTTTAAGATGAGAGATTATGGGGAATATAAAAAATTGACAAAAGTATGAAAGGTCTCTGACAGAGGTGTGACCCTTGAGCATGGGACCTGCTCTCCCGTGAGCCTGGGACAATCTTGGGTTTATGCCTGATCACCCACAGCCAGTTAGGAAAATTGAATTTTCCCATTGTTTCCAACAAAGATAATTTAACAATTTCATTATACCAAGTCATGCTGCGGATTTAGCTCAGTGGCGCTGTGCCTGCCTCACAACAAGGTCCTGAGTTGGATCCCTGGTTCCAGAGACAAACAAAAACACAAGTCATGATATGTGGGTGAATATACTGAACATCAATGAAAATGAGACACTGAGCACTAAAGACCTTGTAAGGCTTTCTGTAGACTCAGATGGGGTTGCAGGGAAGAATTACCTGAAGGTACCAGGGAAGGGTTCAAATGATAACAAAAACAGCATATTTGGTGGGAAGCAGATATCATGAATGTTTTTGCTGACATTTTAATTTTCTTGTCCACTCCTTTCTGGCTCTCTGCACCACTACTCAGAGTATTTCATCAGCAAAAAGGCAACATGGACACTAAGGTAAGTTTGAAAGTTTTGTGACAACATCTTTTAATGTTCTCACTCTAATAAGAATAAAGAGAAATTCCTCTTAGTTGCTCTCCTCTTTTCCTCCTGAACTTTCCATTCTTTCCCTTGGATTAGGAAAGTTTATCTCAATGTGCACCTCTGTTGTCATGCACACCTTCCAGCAATGCTTTAAGTTTCTGTATTTCCCTCCACTTGCTGGTACAGAAGGAGATTTGCCTAATCCTAGAGTAAAAGAACTGCATTGCAATTTTTGTGCCATGGAGCTGTATACTGAATGAGTCATTTTGATTTGTTTTTAAATTTTTTTAATGCTTTCTCTTACTGTTTATTGAGTGTCTATTAAATTCCAAACTGATTTAGGGAACAAAAACATGTGAGCAACTAAACAAGGTCCTTTTAGGTGTTTCCATACCAACCCCATGAGACAGGAGGACAGGGGATGGGCTGCCTGAGTGAGCCTCAGGGAGCAGATTTGCAGGAAGCTAATTCCTGGCTGAAGGGGCAGGAAGTGCAAAGGCTCTGAGGTAGGGCCAGTGCCTCCAGGTATACACAGCTCCCACCACTTCAGCTGCTCCTCAGCCAGCTCACTCTACTCACTGACATTGCTTATCTGGCTTTATAGACATGTAAAGTAATTACATTTGTGAAGATCTTTCAATTACACTTGATCTCTTTGACGGCATCTATGCCATGCAGCTCTCTGCCCCATTAGAAAGCCAACTATCCTGCTTCATGTGACTCAGGTGGACTTTACCCAAAATTCAAAATCAGTGCCTACCAGGCCACTGTCTGCCATTCCTAGTTGTCCTTTGTGGATGACTCTACACAGAGCTGCCTGTGTGTGAGTCACAAGAGCCAATCCACAGGATGTGCCTTGAACAGTGTCCAACACATTGTAAGCACCCAGTGCATCATTCTGCCTTCACATCAATAAACCAATGAGGTGGACGGTTAATGGTGTCATTTTACAGACCAGAAAACAGGTTCAGAAACCTGCAAAGACATCCCAGGTTCTAACACGCAGTCTATAAAGAACCAAATCTCAGGAACCCATGCCGGTAAATGTTTTTCATTACCTGCTCTGCGCATGGAAAGGAAATGCTCCTTTTAGGTGGAAAATGATGGAGCATAGCATTGTTTCAGAAATGTGATTTCTGTCTTGGATTGTTGACTATCTTTTTCTGTGTAACTTTTATCACTGTATAACTATTGCAGAAAACAGAAAGTATAAAAAGCAAAAAAAAATAATCCCAACTTACCATATTATGAGCCTTTCCTACTGATTTTCTTTTTGGCAGTTGTCACACTGACTCACTTGAGTTTGTTGAGATTGGATCTGTTAACCACATGTGTGACTGAGCCAGGACCACAGAGATACCTTGTCTCACTTGTTCTTTTCCATGTAATGGGTGGCAACATAGTCTTCATCGGTGCCGGACTAAAGACTCGAGGTCCGCATTTTCCATGGCAGCAACAGTCACTGTTATACCAAATGCAAAATGCCAGCCACATGCAAACCCCAGGCGCGCGTTAAAGCCGAGTCTGCTGGCTTCCTGACTGGACCTCCTGGGTTCTGTGCAGCTCAGTCAGGGTCCACGGGGCCCACTGCGGACATCAGGAGGCAGCATGCACTCCCCAAGCAGCCTCACTAAGCCCCCCAAATGGATGTGAGAAGCAGGCACACGGAACACCACAGTTCTGTCCAAAAAGTCAATCCTGTATCTTCGGTGTTTCTTATTAATGGATGTGTTTTAAAAGTTTCTAACCCGGGCCTTCTGAGACTCGAACATAAGACACAGCAAGGATTGTGGGGCGAGGATCCAGTAGATGTGTGTGAAACAGGGCTGTTTGCTGCCTTGGATCCTTTTCTTTTTTGTATTTATCTTACAAGATGTACATCGCTAAACGGACCTAATAACCCTCTCTAAAGGATCAGAATTCACAGCAAATATCAGGGATCCAGTCCTTAGCCATATTTAAAAAGCGAGGAACTCAGTTTGATACTAAATATGTGTCTTCTTGGAGTTTTATTTTTTGGTTCTATTATATGAGCATCTGAAGGACACTATTCTGAGGTTCTTGTATTAGGGTTTGAGCTCAGCACCTTCACATGGATCCCCAGCCCCTCTTGCCTTTTTAGTCAGGGTCTCACAAAGTCTCCAGACTAGGTTTGAATTTGTGATCTTCCTACCTCAGCCTCCCAGTTGCTGGGATTACAGGTGTTCACCCCCGCACACAGTCTGTTTGCTTATTAAATCAAACATTGCTGTAGTTTCATAATAAGGACCACACTTTTTATACCACCAAAAGGTGCTTCTTTTCCTTTGTGTGAACAGGGCAACTAGAGGACGCAAATAGCCAATCTTGCTGGATCATATATGTAAACACTGCTCATACTTACAAGTGATCTGCTTTTTCCTTACCCATGTTATTCTTCAACCCCTCTTTCTGCAGCAAGGTTTTGTGGACTCCTTCTCCAATTCCAGCTTTGGAACTGCGAGCCTCAGCAGAAGACAATACCTACATCATCGAGGCAAACCACTGAGTCATAAATTAAGGCCCAGCGGTTCTCTCTCCAGGACTGCAGAAGACAGTGCCCTGGCATCACCACATAAAGGCCTTTTCAATCCCAGGACCACGTTTCTGTATCACTTTTCTCTGCCGTTCCAAAAGATCAGTGCTGCTGGATAGAGTAACTCTCGGGGTCAAAGCCATATGTTGTCAAATTCATTGTTAATGGAGTCCTCATTTTGAGGCTAAGACTGGCCCAGTCTTTCCAGGCACTGCAGCACTCTCTGTCAAACGCGAACACCTCAGAATTTTGTCTTTTCTTTAGACTCCATCAGCCCTCTGTCCACCAAAGAGAGTAATGGGGGATAGCACAGGAAATGAACCCACCACCACTGTCAAGAGGAATAGGATTTAAAAATCAAAATATCCAGTTTGAGTCTTCATTTGGGAGAGTTTCATGGTTACCTGTTGTTTTCACACTGGAAGTCCAAATGTGACATCTCGTTTGCTCCCTAAGTTTAAATCACGTGAGTAGCAGGGTTTTATTTGCTTTATGAGGAAGCAGAAGTGAGTCCCCTTTCGGTGTTGTAGGTAGATATGTTTTCTCACGGCTCTGCGTGGTCCCGGGACACACAGGGCCCTCTTAGCTGTCAGTGAAGTCACCGCTCTGAGTAGGAGCCAAGTAGGCACCCGGGGAAGACAGTCACTGCCCATGGCCCATCAGCCTCAGTGTGTGTCACACTGTCCCTGGGCGCGGTGCTGGCTGTGGACAACTGCCAGCTCTGAAGTAAGCTTGAGAACGAGGCAGGGCAGAAATGAACAGCAAAGAAGGAAAGAATGGGAAAAAGGTTTTCTACCTAACAAAAGTCCTACTGCGTGTATAATCGTATTTAAAATTGTCGCCACCATTTTCAACCAAAATTCTAACTTTCTAAATTGTCCCCAGAGCACTTTTAGATTTCAAATTATTTCTGAAGGGTCTTTTTCCTATCAATCAATACCAATGTAATTTTTGCTATGTAATCAAATGTTTGGTTCTGTCAAGAGAGTTAAACAAAGGCTGCCCTAAAGATAGCTTCAGTCACGGCTGTGATTCTTTATGGTGCTGGCTTACAAGGGTTAGCGTTGTCCAGAGAGAGAAGCGTTTCTACAGGCACCGTTAACAGGCCTGGGTGTTCATTTTAGTTTCGATTTGAGCAAACGCTGACATAACTCACGCTTGGGGCTCACAGCTGCTCTCTCCATAGTGGTCTAGGAGGGCAGGGCGCTTGTTTTCAAAGGTCCTGGTTTTGCCACTGCTCTGCAGAGTTCTAGGAAGTGAGGAGGTCCTCAGAGGGAGGGTCTGGGGCATAAGACAGCTGCACACTTTATTCTGGGTTTGCCAAGTGAGGTTAACATGGCTTGGTGTAAAATTTTACCGTGTTCACACTGCAGAGCTTTCTTTGTCTGAAATTTGAGGCAACATGCATAAATGGGAAACTTTAAAATAAATAAAACCCCAGATTTGGAGCTTGTCCGGAAAGACTTGTCAAGATTGGGTTGCATTCTGATGTGGCCAGGGCCCTAGGAGATGGAGCCACACACTCTAGCACTGAGCTCCTTGTCTTCCTGCACACTTATTTGTATTCCTGTTTGATACCTGCAGGGCTTTGTATTTATGCCACCTGCTCTAATTCTCCACATCCTCCTGCAGGTTTATAGTGCACCTTAAAGGGCCTGGGAATAGGGTCAATTGTTTATTTAGCATTTGAATTTGTTTGAACACAGGAGTACCAGTAACTAGTGGCATCCTGTGAACAAAATACACCAGACCTTGGCAGAAAACACGAATTTTACAGGATTTGAATTGGACCTGATTTCTAGTCTTAACGCTTAGCAGTAACACTAGGTGACCTTAGACTAACTTGGTCTTTATTCCTATCAGATATAATCAGTTCATATCTACCTTGTTATATAGTGGAAATTCCAATAAAATGTTACTTGTTAGAAGACTTTAAAAAGTAAAAAACACTACAGAATGCAAGTTTTCCCCCCCAGCAGAGTTTCTAGTGTTAGCAAATATACTATCTGTTCTCAGTACTTCATTTCACTGGAGTTACATTCATAAATCTCTTGCTGTATATGAATATATATATATTTTTGAAATAATCATTTTTGGAAGAGTTGATATTGGGTGGTTTCATTACTATAGTATAGAAGTAAATTGGTAATAATGGGAAGAAGGGATAAGAAAAATGGAGGAATTTAAGAGAATTCTTCTCTAAACTTATCAGTCATAGATAATATAGAATTTGGTTTGATTTTGATCTTTTGAAACGTGATAGAATCCATTACCTATAATCTGTCCTGGAATGTTAGAACACAGCTATAGTTAATATTTTTACCTAAATTGATGAAATTTTGAACATCTTTTAGAAATGGGAAAACCAATCATTCACTGCTAGGTATAAAAATGGGATAATTTTATGAGTACATTACAGTGAGGGATTCTTACTGATTGTGTAATAAAAGTTCCTTTTTTATTTAGAAAATGACTTGTCATTTTTGGGGGTTCATCAGTTAGCTTGGGCCGGGCATCCTCATGTTGCTGAGGACTCTGGATGTTATGTCAGAATGTATTGATTGTCCAGTAGGTGCCAGGCCCTCTTGGTGCTGGAGATAGAGCTGGGCGGGGTGGGTCAGGTCTGTAATCTCAATACCCTGGGAGGCTGAGGTAGGCAGATTTCAAGCTTAAGTGGCTCTGGGAGACTTTGTCTCAAAAATAGAATGTAAAAGAAGCTGAGGATGTAGCTTACTTAGTGTGAAGGCCCTGAGTTCAAACTGCAGTACCGAAATAGTTAAGCAAAATGAGCAAACAAACAAAACGTCTATCATTGTGGCGCTGATGAAGACAAGGAAAAAAGAGAATATTGTGAAAGAGCCTGGTTTCTCCACCTTGGTGTCTGGGGCTGGAAACTCTGTCTGGGGGACGTCCCAGTCATCGTGAGGGGTTGGGCGTCATCCCTGGCCTCTACCCACTGGATGCCAGTAAGACCCTCCTGGTGTGACAACTGGAAATGTCTGCTGAGGGGCACAGCAGCCCTAGGCGTGAACCGCTGTGGCACAGGACATCTTGGGTTTGGACATGGTGTCGGGGGTGCCTGTGGGAAAGAGGTGACACTGGAGATGAACCAAAAGAATGTGTCAGTGGCAACTACAAGAACATCTGAAATGCCCAGGGTAGGAAGAAGATTAAGTACTCAGAGAGAAAACTGTGTCCCGGGACTTGGCTGCAGCAGAGAGAGGAGGAGGCAGGGAAGTGAGGCTGGGGAGATGGGAGCTGTATGTAGCTCCAGGGGCCAATGAGAAAGGCTCTGTGAACAATCTGCTTGAGAAAAGAATCCCACTTTTTGAAAATAAAGCACTTCAGCCTGTTAATGGCTTCAGTGACACTCTTATGTTGGGTTATAGCTATGAAAGAGCCGAGAGCTGCCTTGGCAGAGGGCAGATGGGAAAAGAGGAGGGGAAGTTCGGTAAATCCTGCAGTCACAGGGCTGTGTCATGGCACCCAGAGGAAGCTCTGCACACCTGTAAGCCCAGCTCTTGGGCAGCTGAGGCAGGAGGATTATCATGAGTTAGAGTCCAGCCTGGGTACATAGACCCTGTTTCTAACTAAACACATAAGCACAAGAAAGGTGTGGAAAAGAGGGTTAGGGTCGAAAAGTTTGTCCATCCCTAAAGTTAACTAAATGAAAGCTTTTTGAGAGAATAACGGCAAAAGTCAAAGTGAATATGGTAAAGTTACGGAGATGACTGAGGCTGTGGAAGCCACAGATGAGATCAGTTGGACTCTTGTTAGAATAGAGATTCTGATTTAGTGAGGCAGGTGGGACCCAATCATTTGTGTTTGTTTCCATGACAGAAGATAAGGTACGACTAATTATTTTTCATTTCAACAAAAACATTCGGACTTGGTTAAAGAATATGGAGAAATAAGAGTATGAGTACATCAACCCCTCATTTTTGTTTCAGTAGTAAGTTTCAGGAAGTGAACACAAAAACTACTTTATTCCTTATTGGTATAGTCATGATACTTGAGCCAAAGAGAATTCCTCACTCAAAGTCCCCAAAGTGTAGGAAAACCCTGAGAAATGTGAACACATTTACGCTCAGGTTTCCTTCGCTCAGCTTGTGCAGACATGTCTCCTCTAGTTTCCAGAGCTCTCTGGAAGGAAAGAAACAGTTTGTGCTTTGATCTCCCTCATCAAGGTTTCTTTTGTCTCTCGTGAACACTTTGGGAGGTCTCAGGATATAGGTCTTCTCAAACTGTTTATTCTTTTACTGTTGATCTCATTAAATATTTGAAGGAAAAATACACGAAGAGCCATTGGTCTACCTACTACAAAGGTAATGATAGTGTACCAAAAATAAGATGGTGTATTTGGCGTCCTTGATGCAGAATGTGAGCAAAGGATGTGTGGGGCTGCAGGAAAATAATTCAAATAGAGTTGGCTCTCTGTATCTGTGAGTTTGACCAACTATGGGCTTAAATGTTGGAAAAATTGTGCCCCTGCACTGAACATGTGTTAAATTTGTCATTGTCCCCTAACCAGTATAGCGTAACTCCTTAAAGCATTTATATTCCATTAGGTATGACAAGTAATCAAGGTGAGTTATAGTATATGAGAGGATGTACAAATACTGCATTGTTTTGTGTAAAGGACTGGAGAATTGTGGATTTTGATATTTGTAGGAGATCCTAGAACCAGTCTCTTTTGGACAATTGAGGGGCACTGTTCTTTGAACTGCTGAGCTCCAGACATTCCTTTCCAGTCCTTACTCAGGATTTTGATGGCCTCTTCTGCTTGTTCCCAGTGTTCCCTGAGTACTTCCTCCACAAGGCCACCAGCGCCATGCAAAGTCAAGGTCTGACTAGCTCCTGAAACTTCTCGTCATTGGGTAAAAGTCCCAAGTCCACAGTGAGCTGTCTCCACTTATGCTCTGCTCACCTGCTGACCTCATGCAATCTTTCACTGCTGTGCTGCGGTGGATACAACCCCTCAGATGCCTACTGTTTACCCTGGGCATTGTCTTTCCACCTGCTGGAAAGGCTTGTCCCTTTCTCTACCAGGCACATTATTCCTCAGGGCTTAGCCCCAGTGACACCACTTCAGCCCTTCTGTACCTCATCTGCCTGGGCAGAATTAATCTCCTGAGAACTTCTATGCAGCCCAATTTCAGTTACTCACTATGCAGGGAGAGATGCAGTGCTGCCCATATGCCAGGCGTGCTGCTAACGCCTAGCTCAGATCACTCTGCACAAGGCCAGAGCCCATCCAGCCCATGTGACATCTTTGGGTGGCATCTTTTAGGTCTTGTATGTGTTTTGTTGGATTTGTATGGTATTTTATTTTAATATCAAATTCCAGTTTTTCATTGTTGGTTTATAGGAAGGTAATAGACTTTGGGTATTAATTTTATATCCTGCAACTGTGCTGTAATTATTTATTAAGTCCAGTAGGAATATTTTCTCACCTACTCTTTGGGATTTTCTACAACCATGTCGTGTGAATGAAGACTATTTTATTTCTTCCTTCACAATCTGTATACTTCTTGTTTGTCATCTTAACTGCATTAGTTAAGACATCAGTATGATGTTGAAAATGAATGTTGAGAGGGGAGAGTCATATCTTTTTTTTCATCTTGTTAGTGAGAGCATCTAGTTTCTTACCATTAAGTTTGGTATTAGCTGGAGGTTTTTTAAAAGATTTAAAAAATCAAAGTAAGGAAGCTCCCTTCTATACTCACACTTTTTAAGAACAAAAATTCACATTGACTTCTATTTTCCTGATCTTTCACCCAACTGTTAACAAATCTTTATTGTGCAGTTGCCTCACAAGGAAGTTTTTAGATTTTAAGTAAGAGAAAACATAAGTGTAAATTTCAATACTTTAAAGTAGATAATGGTGCTTAAGCTATTGTACCAAAAGCATAAACAACTAAGTTAAAAATAATTAAGTTAAACCTCATCAAAATGTAACCCTTTTGTTCATTAAAGGTTACTATTAAGAAAGCAGAAGGGGCAGGTATTTAGCTTAGCAGCACCTTACCTGTCTGGCAAGTGCAAGTTCCTGAGTTCGACCTCCTGTACTGCAATCAATCAATCAATCAATCAAAATATTATGGAAGGAGATTTAGCTCAGCTGCACAGGGCCTGCCTGGCAAGCAGAAAATGCAGTGGTACATTGGTTCATAAACTTAACTATTTATTGTCATTAAGTTCATAAACTTAATTATTATCTACGATTCTGGTTACAAACCGAACTGGACAAGAACGGAATCAAATTCAATGGTTAGATTCAATGTTCACCTTATAGGGAAATTTGATTTGGTTCTCATCCAATTGAGTTTGTGACCAGAATTGTGGAAAGAATTAAGTTCTTGAATGGAGGTACCACTGTATTTGAAAAACATATACAGTTGTCTTTTCCGAAGAAGATATGTTCTAAGAATCTTAGTGGATGGTTACAAATGAATAATAGTACTAAATCTTATAAACAAGCTCTGGAATACTTCACCCAGTCAGTGTGATACTCAGACAGCTACTAATTGGTAGCACATACAGTGTGAAAATGCTGGACCAAAGGATGATTCCCGTTCTAGGATGAATGTACAAGACTGTGAAATTTCATTATACTCTTCAAAAGAGCATGCAAGTTAAAAGTTATGAATTGTTTATTTCTGGAATATTTCATTTAATATTTTCAGACCTGTAGTTGAAACCATGGAATGCAAAACTAGAGAGAAGGGGAAACCACTCTATGTGGTAAGGTCTAGTACATCATGGCACCATTAGGCCAAAGTTCACTGTGAGTACAGAGGACTTATTGTTCAGATTTCCTTTGATTCTCTTCCTTTCTGGCTGGGGTGAATGTCAGCCATCAGACAGAGAAAACTACATGGCAAGGACCTGAGGTCATCCTCTGGATGACAGCTAGCAGGAGTCCAAGCCTTCAGTGGCACAGACCACAAGCAACTAAATTCTGCCAGGTGTCATGTGAATGAGCAGTGTAGCCTTTCCCACCTGCACCTTCAGATAAGACCTCAACCCTGAACGACACCTTGATTGCTTGTCTGCAAAAGACCCTAAAGCAGAGAATCCAGAGGAGCTTCTTAGCCCATAGTTTGTTATCCATAACCGTGTTTATAACCAGTGATAGATATCTTGAGGAGTGTCCTCTCCTTCACAGGTAAAGTCTAATTCCTCTCATCTTGAATCTGGGTTAGCCTTAGCATTGCTCGGCCAAGAAAGTGTGCCAGAGGTGATATTGTAGGACTTCTGCAGCTCAGTCACACAGAGTCTTGCAGCTTCCAACTAGACCGTTTGGAATGAGCTAGACTGCTTGGAGTGCTTGTTCCTGACACTCCCTTTTAGATGGTTTTATTCAGAACCCAGCTTCCATGATGAGAGCAGCCCAAGCCAGATGAAGAGGCTGGGCAGATGCTCAGGCTGACAGCCAAGCTGAGTTCTCAGCCAAAAGGCAGCC